CATACAGTATGCTATTTAGACAACCCTGAGCATGAGGTCAGGGTGAAAACATGTGGTGGAAATATGTTTGGAAGAGTCAGTGCCTATGTTGGTCACCAGGAGTGGGAGGGAGCAGGAGCCGGCAGCTGACAGTTTCGCACTCTCTCCACACAGCTGAGGTGGCCTCAGCCTGAGCAGATTCTCCTGTGGCACCAGAGCAGCTTAAGGCTCTCTGTTGGGCCTGGAGATAGGGTGGTCATTGGCTCCCCTGTACCTGTGCATACTGGCTTGGCCCTTTGGGCACTGCCTTCCCACCCTTCCAGAACTGCAGTGGGGGGACAGGCAGCCAGAAATCGGGCTTGGATCAGAAAATCCAGCACATCCTTACCATTGCGTTTCTGTCCCTTGGCTGCCCCCTCCCTGACCGCTCATTGGTAATACAGCTTTGGAAACACATCTCGTGCTATTTCTTGGCTTTGGCGCATAGTTAGAAGGAGAAGGAAGGAGGGTGTGAAAGGGAGGGGGAGATAGCAGGAGCAAGTAAAACAAAATGAGACTGTGCTGTGAGCTTTGTATCTCATCTAGAAGCTGTTTTCCCCCAGTACACTACACACCCACTCCCTCTGGGCCAGGATGGTAAGGACCATGTGTCCCATTTGACGGATCCCCCATGCTCAAGCTGGACCCATCTGCATGGAAGCTACTTGAAATATCTTGAAGGAGCATCTCAGCAGAGTTGCAGAGTCCTTCATTGTCACAATTATCAGTTCTTGGCCACTTGCTTGAGAAGCAGGAGCTGGCTGATCTCAGCCTGGCTGGAAGGTGCTATCAAGGAGAGTGTAGGCCTTGAACAGGCTGTGAGAGGATGAGCCTTCTCTCTTTGTGTATCTCTATACATCCCACCTTCATTCACATCTAAGTCCTGTGGACTCTTTCTTGGACCTTCCACCAACACGTGCCTCCTGGTGTTCTGAGATCTCCATTGCCACAGCATTGGCAAAAGTCTCTCCAAAACCCAGCACAGTTGTTTCATTTAGATGCTGCAAATGCAGGCCTTCAGCAGTGCTCTGGCCCCAATCTGGGTGGGAAGGGAGGGGTGGTGACTGCCCAGCACCTCCTTAGGTATGTGACCTTCTTTCTAACCAGGATAAAGCTATGGTCCTCTTGGTCAGGAGATAAACCTGCCTCTATTTATTGCTCAGAAACTTTGAGCACTGACCCTGCTGTGCTCTGCTGTGACCCACACAGCAATGAGACACTGTATCCTGCAGTTCCCCAAAGCCTGCTCTCTCACACGTGTTAAGGAAGAGTATGGCTGAGGCCTTCTCGGAGTTTTGCCTGATAGGTGCAGCTCCTGCCACAAGGCTGGGTGGGACAGAGTTTCCATATTCTGGTTTAGCAGGCTCAGTCTAAACTAAATGGCAGTGATTTTGATGACCACTATCCAAACTAAGCTCTGGGCTGCACCTCACTGTGCCCATCACAGCTGGATCTGGAGGACAATTTTTCCTGTCACCATGTGGTTGTGTGTATGGCTGTCTATACTAACCCGAAATCTACCCTGAAATTAGCAATACCTGTTGGCGTCAGGAGAGAACAAAGCCAACCAAAGAGACATGGTTGCTTAGCTTCCTGTAGTCTCTATTGTGGATATAGCCAGCCACAAAGCCATTTCATTATATTTGTTTGCTTTACTCTTCCTTCTTCTGCTTTCCTCTGCCTCTAGCCACCACCTTTGAGTAAAATAGCAATCCCCAGCTCTGTGGCAGCTCTGGGTGCTTTCCTGGGTGCTCTCTGAGGGTATCTGATCCTTGGTGCCCTCTTTGATAATGACCATAATTATTATAGTTATTGTATAGACTGTAGTTAATTATATAGGCTAGCTGCCTTCTCTCCTTCATCTATGTCTGGTGATGTTGGATTGGTATAAATATGGTTGATGAAAGCTGAAAGGGGCTGCTTTGATGAGGAGGCTTTGCCAGCACTTAGTTGTGCTGGAGGATAAGAGCCAGGAGCTCATATATGGGTCCATGCACCAACATTTCTGGATTCCCACAGAGGGTGTGAGTTTCATTCTCTACTTATCACACGTGTTTTTCCCATACTGTGCAATAGGCCTCTGTCTGTTGAGAGAGAATGGGCTCTTGAGGACCTGAACTGGGGACCAGCATCTTTGGGTGAACAGTGTTGACTTCATCCTAACTTCTGAGCAGCAACGTCCTCCTGCAATCCTGCTGTGTGGTGTCTAAAATAAGAACAAGAAATCTGCAATTACTCCTGCCAGTGTTGGTGACTGATGCTCAGTACCTTGCAGTCATTGTTCATCCCTCACCCCTTAGTGGCTGGTGAGGAAATTTTTTGGTTTCAGAATAAAACAAGAGGCACATCTCAGCCTCTTCTCTTCAGGTAGGTTTGTCCTAGAATGGGAAGGTTAACAGAGACATCCTTGTACGCATGGGTGGGATGCCTCTAAAAGATAGTGTGATAAACTACTGCATAAATGCATCTTCTCAACTCTCTTCACTCCCATCTCTGGCTTTGTTAATGCACAGTTGTGAAAGAAATTTGAAGCACGTGGCAGAGTCACAGGCAGCTCTCCCTGCAGCTGCCCTTGCAGCCCCACTTCCCTTCCAGGGTTACAAAGTGGTTCTAGCTTTGATTGTTACAATAGTAGATATGATTTGAGTGCCTCTTGTTGGATCCTGGCTCTGCTGTGCTGTCGTGGTGTGTTGGCAGCCAGAACTCTGAATTCCTTCACTTTTCTGTGGTTAGATTCTCACCCTTACCATAAGGCTATTGTGTACATATCCTGTGTTTGCTTGTGTTTAGAGAAGGCAAGACAAAGAACATCTGTTAGATGAGCAAGCACTCTCTGGGGTTAATGCTCAGGACTCCAAACTCTTTACTCCTCTGTGCTTTAGGATAGGTCAAAACCTGGTTTTCCAAGTGCTTTTTAGGTAAATATCTAACCTAGTTCCATCTGCTGACTCAGCTCCCTCTGAAGAGCAGTTATACTCAGCACAGATGGGAGGTGTTTTGTGTCACTTGATTCAAGCGCAGAAATGCTTCTAGGCACATGGATATGGCTGGGTAGATTTCACAAAGCTACCCCGCCAACTCAGCTTCTGGTATGGGAACAAGTGGAGAAAACTTCAGCCCAGACATCCCAGGGAGGGCCTCAACACTGGAATTTAGCATTAGTATACCTTCTTTGCCTTACCTGCTGTCGCAAGCCTATGCCAGGAAAGGGGATTGGGGAAGGGAAGAAGAAGAACGGTTTCCCACACCTCCACATGCAGTATCTGCCCTCCCAGGGGAGCCTTGGATGGTGGTGTGTCAGACTGTCACTCCAGGCAGTGGGAGGACAGGATAAGTAGGAAGGAAGTGAAGGGAGAGAAACCTAGTGTCAGGTAGAAAGTAGGCAGCAGGGAGTCCCCTTGTCCTCCCCCCTGACTTCCAGCATGCTCTGTTTTTCAATTGCATGGCTGAGGGTTGGTGTTGGAGGTTGAAGGGCACTGGTGTGTTGGAGATTGCTGCAGCTCACTGTCTCCCTCCCCAGCTTGGTGGGAAGTGTGGGTCTATTCAGCCAGATCCTACTTCACTCCCCAGTCTCACCCCAACCCTCTGGCAGCAAGCATAATGTTGACAGAGTGATATTGTGGTCAGATAAAACAAATATACCTTCCAGTAGGAACAGGAACCTGTAGGCTCCAGCATCCGGGGTGCTCTGGCCAACTCCTCCCTTGGTCCTAGTGCTGGGGGAAAAAAGCACTGCATGCACTCCATGCTGCTCTAGGAGCCAGGCTCTTTCCTGAGCTCAGATCTCACACTGGAATTCATTGGCATTCATGTCTGTGCTCTAGGACCTGTGTGCTCTCTCCCACTCTCTCTCATCCATACCCTGTTCCTCTTGGTATTTCAGTATGCTGCTTTAAATGCCTTTCTGCCCACCCAGACACTTTTCCAGGCTGGGGGGGAATGACCCAGTCTGGCTTTGCTGAGCTCTCTCCAGTTCATTTAGGCTACACAGTTCTGTCTGTGTAATATAGTCACTTGAATGTATCCTTCTTCCCTCTCCCTGAGCCAGTAGCCTCGATCTGCCAACAAATGGGATAATTTTTCAGCTGGTGTTTGGCAACCATAATTTTTCTCCCTGCCCAACCAATGCTTTGTTCTAGCAAATGGAAAAGTTAGTGATTTGACTTCTGAATAGGAGGGTATGCCTCAAAGGAAACAGGTTCCCTGTAGCATCAGGAGCCCAGCTCTGCAGCAGCACTGGCCAGATTTACTGACTGTTACTGGAATGATTAGTGGAATGTTTGTTTGTTGTTAATAGCCCATCTGTAGTGTTTAAACTTCATCGGGAAGCAGAATTTCACAGGCATTATCTGGCTGGAGAACAGCCTCATATGGTCCACAGAGGGGCTGTGAAATCCCAGAGGAAATGAAATACAACAGGGGGCCTTCCTGTTATGTTGATCCAATTGATCTTTTTTTCTCTGATAGAAATCAGCAGCTGGGTTGATGTTCTCTGGGGCATCAGAGTGCCTATTTCTGCTGGCAGAGAACATGAGAAAGTGTCTGTCACTAAGAACAGATGCTGAGGACCATGATTTTCTGTCACACTTGCATTTTGCCATCACAGGGATTTCTTGCCTTGAACTCTATTCAGCTTATTGTCACAGTGAGATGATGCTAGGGAGCCAAAGATAGGTACCCATAGAGGAAGGGGCAGATGTGAGAATATAGAAGAGTTTCATGAGTGTCTGTGGCACAGACAAATGAGCAGAGAAGATGTACATCACCACAGCCCTTTCTATCTTAATGCAAGGTGTTTTTATCAAACTGATGCAGGCAAGGGACAGGAATCGTGTTTTCCATCCAAAAAGGGCTGTTGCTGAGATTTAGCTCTCAGACTACAGGAAGGCTCTCAGATCCCTCTTGGAGTTGACACTAATACTCTCTCTCCCTCTGTCTTTTCTCAGCATTTTTCAGAGAACCTGGATCACTTCTCTGACAACATGGAGGATTTCTCCAATGACCTCTTCAGCAGTTTCTTTGATGACCCAGTACTGGCTGAGAAGAACCCACTGCTGGACATGGACCTGGATCCACCCACTCCAGGCATCCAGGCAGAGCACAGTTACTCCCTCAGTGGAGACTCTGCTCCTCAGAGCCCCCTTGTGCCTGTCAAGACTGAAGATAATGCTAATGGTGAGCACTCTGCACAGCTTTGAGCACATCTGTTAGAAAAGGCCCTGGCTGGCTTCCATATATAAGGACAAACTGGCTATTCCTTTGGCTTGTGCATGGCTAATCTTGGGAAGAATCTGATCTGCCGTTGTCAAATACAGCCCATATTTTTTCCTTCAGTTTGTGCTCTGACAATCCCATTGCTCCTTAACCAGGCTAACTTATTTATGAGGATGATAACTGGTTGTGGTTCAATGTGCTGCCAGCTTCTGGCAAGCAACAGGCAATGTCTTTTTAGGACCCTGCAAACCTGGGTGTGGATGCCCTAGATCCAGGTCTGTTTTGGCAACAGTGTTTTGGCCTGAATATGGGAAGCATGAGTCTTTGGCTGCAAACAGTGCTGGTGCGTGTGGAAAGTTAAATGGTTTCTTTACTAGCAGATCTTTTAGCAGGAGACAGAGAGGAACAGTCATTTCAAAACCTATTTTTAAAACAATTCATTTCAGGATAATTTATGATGGCTGGATATTTTTAGAGCCATCCTTCCAGAGACTCCTGTAATTTGTGGGACTGTGTGGGTGTCCCAACAGCTGATGGACACCGGGATGCCTGCAAAAGCAGTAGCACAGGCTCAGTATACACAGAAGAAAGCCATTCCTTAGAACAAGAGTCAGCCCTGGTAGAGAGGCTTCCCTCTCATGGCGAGGAGTGATCCCAGCTCTCTGGTACAGATGCCAAGGCAGGAGCATGGGAGCTGGCCTCTGCTGCCTCTTTGGTCCCTACAAAGGGTGCAGCCATCAGTGCCACATTCCTTGGAAGCCACTCAGATTGGTGCTGGGAGAGAGGCTCTGCCTGAGTATCAAAGAGGTTTTCCATTTACTTTTCTTTTTCCTTAACTTTAACCCCAATACAGCCTTGAAGGGCACTCAGCCCAACCAGCCAAGTGAGTGATTAACAAAAGCAAACCAGCATGAGCACATAGATACATCTTTATTTTGCCCCTGCAAATGAACAGGAAGGGATGAGGCTTGGGAATGAGAGACGCAAAAAGTGTGAGTTTGTAGAAATTTTTTGTTTGAGCCGTGAAATGAAGTCTGCCTGCATGAAGCTACCTCAGTGACTTCTCTCTGAGACATTTGTCACCACTTCTGCTGCACTCCTCTTTGTCTGGATGTGTCCCTGCTTCAGCTGCAGTGTCTCCTGAATGGAGTGCAACACTGATCCTTGGGCAGAGGCTGTACAGCCTGTAACCCGGGAGAGCTTGAGATGGACATCACACTTGGTCTCTGGGAGTGCAGGTCAGCTCTATACCAGCAGTAAGGCCTAGTATTAATGTGGGAGGTACACGGGTATCTGTGCACCCAGTCCAGCAGTGGGGCAATTCAACCCATCTTTCCAGGGCTATCTTGGCTTGTAATTGGATGTGAGTCACTATGCTAGTGTAGTCCTGAGTCATGTCCAGTGTTTATAACACTATGCAGTCCTTTTGGCATAGCTCTCCAGTCCTTTTAGACATTCACTTCAAGTTAATTACCCAGGAATGGCTTTTCCTTAACATTAGGCAAGCTCTGCTTGGTCTGCAGAGCTCCTCAGGAAT